ATCATTTTTTCAATTCACAAATGAATTTGCCCTCACACTTGCATTGCCTACTTAGAAAGTTAGTAGCCGGTAGTCATCGGGTTAATTTAGAAATTTTAGATGATTATATATACAACAGATATTTTTAACATCTTAGTCACCATGGTTACTGGTAGGTGTTAGTCTACATACATAGAAAAGTTCATGACCCAATGTAACAGGTTTTCACAGACTAATTCTATATTTAGCTTAAATGACTAAAATCAGGTCTAGTTTCAACATTGTTTCAATCACTGTCAGACTAACTGTTAATGATGGCTATGGAACGTACCTCCAACCTCGTGAATGTAGATCACTAAGAAAACGTTGTATGCTCTACTTGATGTCACTTTAACTGCCTTTTGTTTGGCGATTAAGTCCTCGATAACACCTGTGGTTTGCAAACTATTTCAAGAAAGACTCATTTTCGTGGGCTATATTGTCTTGGTCATGCGAATAATAGCGGAAATGAACCCAATTTATTTTTAAGATTTTTATCTTTTACTAGGGCATGCTAGTATCTGTAGAGTAATAACTTAAATGAACTTGAAATTCAATTTAGAATAAAATGTCTGGTTTTCTGTTAGATATGTCTTGGATAATTACGAACTACTTTCGCTCTCTCTCTCTTTTTATTTTTAACACATTACTATCAAGTGCAATGCTTTTTCCTGTCAATTTGTTGTTTGGGCCTATGTAAAGAGCCCCCCCCCCCCCAGTGGCGCAGCGGTATGTCTGCGGACTTACAACTTACAGAGCACAGATAGTCCATTGTGTAGCTTTGTGCATTTACTACAAACAAACAATGTAAAAATAGACAATTTTGTAGTTTCATGTCCAACGGCTTAGGCCCGTGATTATCAGTCATTACATGGACGTTTGGTGTCAAATAGCTATAATTGTAGTACATACTAACTATAATAAAGTAGCAAATAATTTCTTCAGTTAAAATGGTGATATTTTGTATGATTTAATTCTACGTGTATTATTTTTCTTTTTGGATCAATTTAATTGTTTTCTTACAACACCTCTTAATAAAATAACAGGAACTGTATTTGTTTTTAAATTACTGATTGGCATTTATATTTTGGGGACCAAATGAAAGGTTTGATCTGTGTCTGTCTGTTTCTATCTACAGAACCATTTTTACAGATTATGATGGTCATAATTAATGTCGTGTTCTTGACACTTTTCATTATAATTTACGCTCTAAGTTAGCTGATTATGAAGTGCAGGTTAAGATCATTCCTTTGTTTAATGTTATCATCTTTAGGCCTTTTGTGCCAGCATCAGAACGTCTTGCAGAATGGATGTTGTAGCGTAGATACTCCTGGCAAGAAGAAGTATTGCTGTGAGTGATACCTGTCAAAAGAACTGCTGTTGCAACATTTTGGAGAACTGCATATCCTACTGCCTTACATTAGGTAAGGTAATCATTAAATTCTTTCCAGCTGTCTTAAAACAACCACAAGTTAGCCTTTTGATCTTTAAACCAGGTAAGGTAGTATTTTTTTTTGACATTTTAAATCAAATAAGGTAGTTGTTTGATCTCTCTTGCTGTCTTAAGTCAGATAAAGCATTCTTTTCATCTTTCAAATGCATAAAGTATAAGTTTCCTCCAATATTTTTTGTTGTGAAGAAATAATTATTCTCCATCTATTTATAATGACACGCAAGTTTCCAAATTTAGATTTTCATTTCATTTATTTAATGAATAAGATAAAATAAATGGTACATTTTTTTTGTGAAAAACTTCACATATGTGAATAATTACTGGCATATTAAAAAAATCAACTGTTTCTTTAGGTGGAAAATGAAGTTTTATAATAAATATTTAAAACACGATAATACCAAAAACATCTTTAAAACGGATATTTCAGAATTTCCTTAAATTGCATCATCAGCGTTAATATACCTCCCCCCCCCCAAAAAAAAAAGGATTGAGCGAGTTTTCGTATTCAATCGGAAGTTTTGGAAGAACAGATTTGTACGGTAACAATATAATGGAATGTACGATAAAACGTACAGCATACACATGTATATTAAATAACATTGAAGATTTTCCTCACATTTGAGTGTAAGTTTAAGCCAATCATTATCAAGGGGTCTAAACTTTCTTCTGTCATTTAAAATGTCTCCCATTTTGGAGACATAATCAGATCTGATTAAGATGTTGACACCTGTACCTTTACCTAGCCAGATAACAATAACGTTTCGGTTACTGGCAGTTCTTTTAAGGCAGAAAACTCAACCTGTGTAATAGAAGAAGGGTTTTTAAGGGGTTGAAGTTATAGAAGGAGGACATTTTTAAATTTAGTTTTGATAAGGTTCTCTGTATTTATATTGTGTTATGTTTGTTAAAACTAGGAAATGATTTAAGAGTTCTGTAGATATATTCAAATAGAAAAAATTAAATTGAGAAATTTAGTTTACGGGTAGGTAGACAAAAATGTAAACCTTCTGACAGAGCATTTTGATATTGTTCACTTAAGGTAAGTTAATTGAAATTAAAAATAACATTATCAGAACTTATGTTACTATATTTTCTTGCTGGAATTAGCTTTTTAAGCTTGACATTCTGGTTGTGTTCAAGTTTGGAGATGTTTTTCAGGTTCAGATTGGTGTGATGATGAAAGTCTATCCGCGAAATTATATTCATAATTTCAAGACTGGCTGTAGTATGTTGGTTAATTAGTTGTTATTTTCGGCGATATTTAGTTTCAATTCTTCTATCAATAGCTTTTTTTTGACAGAAACGATAAGCAGAAGAGCCTTAGAGATTTCGATTAGTTGTCTTGAAGTTCGGGATTTTGAATAACTTCATGATTTTTAGATGTGGTTAAAAACTGAATACCATGATTGTTTGAAGTTAAGCACAAAGCTACACAATAGGCTACCTGTGCTTTGCCCACCAAGGGTATCGAAACCCGGTTTCTAGCATTGTAAGTCCGCAGACATACCGCTGTGCCACTGGGGAGCAACTGAATACCAATCGAGACCTTCCGAAGTTTGAAATCAAGCTTTTCAAGAGTATGAAATAAACGTAACACATCATATCCATACCGCCATGTCAGAGTATTTGCAACGTATTCATCAGGTAGAAAGCGAATTTTAAGATAAATATTAAAAACACGGTAATAACCAAAAAAAAAAAAAAAAAAAAAATTTTTAATATGGACGTTTCGGAATTTCTTTAAATTCCATCATCAGTGTTAATATCTCAAAAAATAATGGTCATCCCCCTAATTTCTTACACTCTATCACAAAAAGGTTTAACAAATAAAATGGGACCTACTAAAAAGTTACACACTGTCTCAAAATATCCACTAATTCTTGTCATTCCTTTCATTAGCAAATAAAGTTTTAAACTCAAATATCAAAATCAAAACGCACTTCCAACAAATTAAGCTATGTTTAGTATTTACGTCAACGTGTAGAATTAATAATATGTTTAAAAACAAAGACACTTTACCCATTCCTATGCGCTCGTGGGTCGTATATAAATACACTTGTGGTAGCTGTAAAGCTACCTACATTGGTAAAACTACATGCCACCTACGAAAACGTGCACACGAGCACACGAGAATTTCAGCAAGAAGCGGATGTAAACTATTGTTGCGTCATCGAGTCACATGACTACTGTGACGCAACGTTTCTAGAACTATCATGTACTTTGGCGAATGTTCTAGTTCTTACTAGATATAGGGTAGGCTGGTATATAAAAGAGGGGAATGTAATGTCTGGGTAGATAGTGAGTAATTGAACTGCAGTCAGAAGTATTGTTGACGTTCGTTGATTAGCGTTTGTTTTAGCGCGATTGTTGAAGTTAAGTGTATCGGTAAAGTTATATTCGGAAAGAATAAACCATTAAGAAAGAACTTGTGTCGCTTAAGTTTCGTCGGAACGAAGTTACGGAAAATCAATTAACAAACGGAGACGTAACACTATGTAAATCCACCCAAGTATTATATCTGATTGGTGCATAGTGAGAATACCACAAAGTAAGAAACACCACAAGACCGCAAAACTCACGACGATGACAAAAACTTTATATTTATTTGCAAAGTTTCGGTCAAAAGCCCTTCTTCAGGCAGTTTAAGCCATGTTATATAGAAAAAAGGTTTCGACAGAATTATCGAAGGGTTAGAGTATAAAGAGATTCTAAATTACGTACGTACTGAACAAAACTAATCTGTCTGGTTAAAGGGTGTTATGTAAGGACTAAAGGAAGTCTGTCACTGTGTGGTTTGTCCTTAGAGTGTAGAGAGTCAGCTTGTGATAACTGAATGTGGCAAGTTTGGCATTTTTAATTTACCTTACATGTGATTATATCACTAACTTATCGACTCTCTCTAGTTCTACCTTTACCTTTCACGTAAAAGGCCAATTCACCTATACATCAGATTCCTGAACATCTCCAATTTGTACGCAACGGCACCCTCTACCACCCAGTTCCTAAACACTTCAACTCCTCCTATCACAACGGAATTGACGACATGAGTGTACTCGTTTAATTATATGCCCTCACAACAAGTATGATGGCGAAAGCCTAGAAGGTAAACTTATATTTAAATTCTCTTGTACCACACAGAATTAATGAACGCTTTTCTTTTAAGTGATTACAGCTCCTGTCTATATCTCTTTGCCACTGTTGTTAACTTGACACCGTCTACATATTGTTACGTCTCTGTTTGTTAATTTTTCTACGATACAAGTCCTTTCTTAAATAAAACTTGTTTATTCTTCCTCAATACAACTTTGCAATACACTTAATTTTCACAGTTACACACACTATAATTCATAGCAAGTCACTCATTTTCTTCCGCGCTTGACTCAACTGTCAGTCTCTATCTCCACCTGTCAGCAACTATAGTTCCGATCTCTGTATCAGCTATCCCCGGTTCCCGCCGACCGTAACTGCTGTCCTTGGTTCCCCTCTCTTTATCTGCCTGTCTAGCACACTTATATACGATAATATCGCCTCTTCTAGAACTTTCTAGGCACTCAACACGTGCTACCAGCGTCACTTGACTTCCGCTGCCGTAACACACTAACGTTTATCGCGATTTCTTCTAGAATACTCGTCACGTGACCCCCTCCCCCCGCTGTCGTAACAATATATTTCCCTCATCATCATTATTATTAAATTACTATTTTATCATTTTTCGAATTTATGTATATTACTTTTCTGTGTCCTTTTAATTTCTGAAATCCAATTTCTATCACTTTAATACTTGTTTTCCATTTTGAAAAATGTTTACAGAACCGGCTTCAACAGTGTTCCTTCTAACAATATTTTTGTTAACGTGCTCCACGCAGTACCTACGTAATTTAGAATCTCGTTATATATATATATATATATATA